ATCAAATATTTTTTATCTCAAAGTAGACATGTACTCCTGTATGTGACTTTTTTTTTTGGCAGTGATTGTTTTTATTGATCCTTTGATGGGATATGCTAGATTTTCTACTTTTTGTCAAAATTTCATAAAGAACAGAGTGGATTTTGGTAGAGATTTCAGTTTGCAAGTAGCTTTAAACATCAAAAAGGAGTGTATTAAAAACTTGCTTGTTGTTTTCCTTTAGACCAACCAACTTTAACTTCATTAGCAGAAGCTGTACTTCTATTAAAATTTTTTATACAAGGGCATCACCTTCTGCCAGTTATCTTGTACAAGAAGTCCGGACGAAAACAACTAAAAGCCTTGATCTCTGTAAAAACTATTATTTTAGTTATCTTTTCTATCTTTTTCAACAATTTTTGTTAGTCGAATATTTGGTACGAGTGATTGTTGTCTATTTTATTAATTCTATTTTTTATTTTATTATTTCTTATTCTTTTCTTGATAATAATATAAAGTGAAGACTGACTTTGTTAATAGTATTTTAGCAAATACTAGCTTTATATTATTAGAATTTAAAGACTATATATAGCTGTTTATGAGCTGATTATTAGTGCTTTCTTTTTTCTAGTTATATCTTAGGATATCTCTAAGTTCTAAAGTTTAATAATCCTTAAAAAAAAGTAAGTATTTGCTATATCTAATCTATACAAACTAGTCAATAGGTTTAACTCCAAATACAATTGCCTATTACTAATCATCTTATAGTATCTAGAAGGCTATTAAATTTAAATTCTGTTTTGCATTTTTCTTTTTTTGTTTTTTTTTTTATTTCTTTTAAATAAAAAATTTTCTACTTGATATTTATATCTTTTAAAATTTGCTACAGCTTACTAGTTTTTAGTAAATTTTATTACAATATAACTATTTGTTATTTGTATAAACAAATAATTATTGTAGTACTTATACCATCACTATAATCTGTTAGTAGATTGAGTAGTTCATAAGCAGAATTCGAATATACAATTTTATAATAATCATATGATATCACTACTTTACTATAATAGGTAATTATCTAATTTTTAAAATTTTTAGTTTAAGATTATTTCAAGTTTTTGTAAATTGTTTAATAAGAATATAAGATTGCATGTGACCAAGTTGGTACAATACAGGGGTCAAGTATAATATTTATTATTAAGTTTTGTTTAAAGTTTATAAAATATCGATATAACTCAATATCTAAATTAGTAATAATATCAATAACTATATCAATATAGTGTATACTTATCAAAAGCAATACAAACACAAGAGATCTTTATATAAATATTCAGAAGAGTAATTAAATTAATAATAAGAATAAGAATAATAGTAATAATAATATTAATATTAATAATAAAAATATTTATAATTATAAAAAGAAAATAGATAAAAATTGATAAGAATAATATAATATAAAAAGTAATAGTAATAATAATATTAATTATTATAATTAATTATTAGAAAGAATGTGTGGATTAAGAATTTAGAAAAGAAAAAATAAGGAGTTAAAAAGGAAGATAAAAGTGATAGAAGAGTATAAAGATCGATAGAGACAGAAGTGTTTAAAAAGTAAAACTACAATAAGAAAGATGATTAAAAGTTGATAAAAAAAACAGAAAAAAGAAGAAAAATCATTTGTAGATAAGAAAAAAGATAAATAGAAGAAAAAGTATAAGAAGTTGTATAATAGAGTTAAAGATAAAAAATGGTTAAAGAAGAAAGAAAAAGATCTGATCAAAAAATAGTAGTATTGAGGTAATCATTTAAAGAAGCAAGTTAAAAAATTAAAGAAGATAAAAAAGAATTTATAAAAAGAGTTGCAAAAGGAAATAGAAGTAGATAATTCATTTTGATAAAAAAGAAAAAAAGATTGAGATAAAGAAAAAGAAATTTTAAAAAAGGAAAAGAATAAAAAAAAATAGGTTTAGTTAAGCAAATAAATTTTTGGAAGCAAAAAATACAAGAGATGTTAATGTAATTAAATAATTATATAGGCTAGGTGCTGAGAAAAGAGACCAAATTGACAATTTTTTCAAAGGATATTTTTTTTACATAAATCAATTTAAAATAAGATTAGAATCATTTTTTACTTAAGACACAAAAGTAATTGTATTAATAAAATTCTGTGGTATAGCTCTTTAAAGTTTGCATTTTCTTATAATTTATTATAAGATTTATAATATAAAAATTGATTTTCTAAAGATCTTTTTTTTTTGTCAATTTGGTCCCTTTTCTCAGCACCTAGCTCATATTATCTAAATAATTTTAATATATACTAAACAATATATATAATATAATTATAAGAAAAATAAAATATAAAGTTTAATGAAGAAGAAAAAGAAAGTATAGAAGATATAATAGAAATTGAAACTGATAGTTTTATAACTATTTGTGATTTAAATAAAGAAAAAAAATATAATATTATAATACAATAATATTAATAATTATAATATTAATATTAATATTATAATTTTAATAATTTTAGATCAAGGAATAAGAGAAAAGAAAATGTTGTTGAAGTTAATAATAAAAGGTTGGATTTAAATTTTGATGATGAAGTTTGGGTAGATTTGCTAATATTAGTTTTGGATAATAATGACAAAGTTAAAGAAAGTAGTAAGTGATGTGACAAAAATCAGTTGATTTTTTAGGGGGAGGGAGTTAAAAAATTTAAAATTATATATAAAAATCTGATCAAAATATATAATAAGAAGGGGAGGAGGAGTAAGCCTCTAATAAAAAAAAATCAGGTGATAAATGATACTGCTTTAAGAGAATTGTTGAAGAAGATAATAATGAGATATTGGAATTTGATGATGAGAATTAGGTAGTTTGCTGGTATTAGTCTTGAATGATAATAGTAAGAAGAGTAGTAAGGGTAAAAGATTTTGAAAAAGTATAAAAGTTATTTTAATAAAATTTATTAGTTTTGTCATTAAAAATATAGTAGTATTATAATTTTAAAATTTGTATTAGATCTAATTATCATTAAAATTAATAAAAGTCTAATAAAATATATAATATAATAATAAATTAAAATAAACAAACAAGTGTTTAATGAAATTTAAATTCAATAACCTTTTAGATACTATAAGGGTTAAATAGATTAATTATTAGAATTATTAATTATTATTCTTTTTGTATAAACCAGGTATAACAAAAATTATTTGCACTGTATGAGAATTATTAGCCACTCAGTCTTAGAAATATCTTTAAATAAATCTAGAAAAAGAATACTAATAATTAGACTATTCTTAGTTATACAGTATATAGCTTTTAAATTTTTAATAATATAAAGCTAGTATATACTAGCATATTATTTATGAATACAGCTATCATTTTATATTATTTACAAAAAAGAGAAATAACTATACTAATAAAATAAAGAGTATATTTATACATTGCATAGTATAACGTATGTTATACGTCGCTCTATATATTATATAAAAAACTTACTAAGAATATAATAACGATATAAACTTTTATATTAATTCGCTTTTGGTTTCTAAGCAAAAATAACTCAATATTGTATTGTGACTATAAACATGTATATAAGATTCTAATATTTGCTATTTTTAGTAGGATATTTTGGAGTGTAATAACCAGTTTTATGATACAAACCACATTTTTGACCACCAGAATTATCATTATTGATTATATCATTATTACTTTGTTTTTGGCTATTTACTTTATTTTTTTCATTATAACTCTTTATTTGCTTGTTTGGAGGTCTGCCTTTACCTCAACATTTTATTGGATCTTTTATATTATTCGTATTATATATATGACTATTAAACAATCTAATCTTGTAGTTTAAACCTATATTTTCTTTTAGAACCTTTTGATTTAGTTGCATGTCTGTTTTTCGATTTGCTTCTTTTTCTGAAATATAAGACAATATAATATCGTCTAATGCTTTTTGATTATTATCTTCTAGCGAATAGTTTAATGCTTTTTTGAAATACCTCATAAGCTGGCTATAATATAATTTTTTATATGTATGTTGATAAATCTGACTTTTTTGCATATTATTATAATGTTTAGAAATAGGATACGTTTCTTGTAAATTATCAGATTAGAATCTTTTAAATCCTTTAGACAATGCTTTAACAAAAGGCTACTAGAAGCCAAATCAACTTTATTTCACATATCATCCTGAAACTATTGTGTTGGCATCATCTTAATATGAAACAATGTATTTGAATTTTCTACCATGAGTTTAAAGTAATATCAACAAATAGTTCTATGTGATACTAATAATAAGCATGTACATAAATGCGTTCCATCCTTGAGAAGAATAATATGCTAATATAAACTTGTTGTCATATATAGAACAATTCTCCACACTTTACAAATTAATTCTTTTGAAACTAAATTCATTAATGTTTTTAAATATGCTTGTCAATGGTCATAATAGTCTTCAATATTTGTAATGTCTTCATTATCTTGATTATCTGCTAATAGTACCTCATTCTAAAATTTTATAATATATACTAGTTAATATATCTTTAACTAATACTAATACTAAACTAACTCTAAACTAACCTTAATCTAATCTTAACTCTAACTACTAGTATACTTCATATAACTCTTTTCTATCTCTAAACTAACCTTAAACTAACCCTAACTTTAACTACTAGTATACTTCGTATAAACTTTTTTTATACTAAATTAACTCATCTAACTTTAAACTAATTTATACTTTCTTATTACTATTAATTAACACTAACCCAAACCTTAATCTATAATAATATTTACTTAATAAATACTAATATAAGAATTCAAAATAGATAAAAGAAATCATAATTAACTTACTAATTGATCTTCAATAAATTCAAAGGCTTTTTCATTAGATACCTTTTCATATTTATATAGTACAGATTCGCATATTTGTATATAGATTGCTTCAATAATTCGTGGTAAAAAATATTTTTTATTAAGTCATTTATTTCATTAAAAAAGTTCTCTATAATGAATGGTTGTTAATATATTGTTGACTTATATTTCCAAACCATAAAACTCTTATTCATAGCTTCTTGTTGTATTTGAGAATCTAACGCTTCTACTATATTAGCCATAGAAGAACTAGCAAAAACAGCTTTGTGGATAAGTACATTTATTAATTTAACATGTTGTGTTGACTGCATACCAACTGTAAATATTCGGTTTGTAAAAACACATGCCCAAGAATAGCATGTTATATAAATCAGATTATACAAATACTCATTAATATTAGGATATGTATCCAATAAAGTTTGAAACCTTTGTTCAAAAATATTAATATATAATACATTGCGTATTTTTCAAAAGTCATTAATAAATGCTTTATAATCAGCAGAACCAAGTTTATTTTTAAGCTATTTGGGTAAGTTTTGAAATAAGTACCAAATACAATATACATGATAAGCATTATTATATATATTTTGACAAGCAGTATCCATGGCTAGGTCCATATCTGTTAAAATAACTTGTGGTTCAAGACCAGTTGTATCTAATATCTGTTGTAACATCCACTTATAACTTTCTTGTGTCTCATCATTTATAAAGGCTTGTGCCCCTAACCGTAATTTTCTATTATTATCAACAAGTATAAACAATGATAAAGGATAGTTATATTTATTAGTTCTTGAGGTGTTATCATGTAAAATAATATTTAAGTAACAGATCCACAATATAATTTGGTCCTCTGTTATCCAAAATATACCACACATAATCTATTACTATCTATATTAATAAGGGGTTGTATAAACATCATAAGCTCTTTTTTTTGTTTCTCAAGAAGATACTTTAACAATTAAAAGGTGTCTGAGCTGACAATATTTTTTTCATATTTTATTTTTTATATAGCATTTGAGAGATCTTGGGTAAGAAAAAGTTAATCAGAAAATAATGATTGTAATAAGTTCCTTATGGTGTATGCATTACAATAACTATAAATTACAGCATGTTTAATTTCTAATATTATGGCTTGATCAAATTTTCAGAATATTGTAGCGAACTTTGAATTATTGGCAATTAATTCATGATTATGGACAAGCTTTACAAAAGTCATGTATATATCATTATTACTTTCATGTTTGCTTAAATTGACATGCCATTCATAATTAGATTTCTTTGAACCTTTATTGTGTTGTTGGTTTGATGGTTTCACTTTATTAGGTTTATATATTCTAGCCTTTTCACATGCAAATGTTCTTTTTTTTACTAATTGGTCAGCTGAGAATTGAACGCGATATTTTTTAACTGCAAACTTCTTTTTTTTTATACTCTTTTATATAATATTCAGCAGCTTCCCAAGAATCAAATTGTAAGCCAATATACAACTCAGTAATGTCATCTAATTTTAAATAAAGATAAGTTAAAGTTAATTGCCACATTAGATCGAACAAATCATTACTAATAATATAATTCAAAACTAAAAAAAGTTATATAATATTCTCATCTTTTTCAAAACTTAATGAACGTACAGAACCTGACCCAAAATCTGATACTACACTAGATCTACTTTCTACTAGTTCCAAATCTAAATTTATACTACCATTACTTTTTACTAAACCTTTACTATTTTCTTTTACTTCCAACCCTAAACCACCTTTATCTTTTGCCAACTCTACATATAATTTATTATTAGACCATCAAGTTTGTAACTAATATCAAGTTAAATAAATACTAATCTAATTCAAGCCCCAAAACAGGCTCAGAATTATCCTCACTTACTTCCAGATCCATATCACTTTTCAATTCTACAAAAAAAAATATAGTATTAGATTACTAAGTTTATGATTAACAACAGAATAAATATAATACTAATCTAATTCCAAACCAAAAGTAGATCCAGTATTAATTTCACTTACTTTCGAACCTATACAACTATTATCTTTTACTATCCCTATAAATTATATATCATATTAGATAACGAAGTTTATTAATAACAACAAAGTGAACCAAAAACTTACCTAATTCTAAACCTAAAGATTCACAATATTTTTACTTATTTTTAAACTTGAACCCACACAATTATTACTTTCTACTAACTTAGCAATTTATTCTGTTAGATCAAGATTTAATAGCCAGTAACAAAATAAAAATAATATTTATGTATCTAAACACCAACTAAAAGCTAGCCCAACCTTATCTTCATACTCTTCGAAATTTACAATAAATTGTTTGTAATTCTATGAAGCTTATACTAACACAAAGTTGAGTAAATGCTTACCCAAACCCAAACTAAAAATGGTTCTAGCATTGTCTTCACACTCTTCAAAGTCTGCAATAAATTGGTTATTAAGTCCACAAATTTATACTAAAACAAAGTTGAATATAATGCTAACCTTCGGTGCTCTCTTCTGCTTAATAAAACAAAGCCAATAAGTGTATATGCATACATATGTACTGTGCTTATTTAATACAAAGTTGAGTAAATACTTACCCAAACCCAAACTAAAAGTGGTTTTAGTATTGGCTTTACACTTTTCAAAGTTTGCAATAAATGGGTTATTAAGTTTACAAACTTATACTAACGCAAAGTTGAATATAATACTAACCTTCGGTACTCACTTCTGCTTAATAAAACAAAGCCAATAAGTGTATATGCATACGTATGTACTGTACTTATTTAATTAAAAAAAAAAAGCAAACCAGATGCATAATTATACAAAAGATCTATTTTCGTATTGTGTACAACTAAAGAGAGTAAAGATTAGATATCGGTATCATTATACATTATTCTTATATGCAGTGTATATCATGTGATTTATATAAGTATAATAATATCGCACATGTGATATATAAATTTATTTATAAATAAATTGGACTCATTACAGGTCGATAGTTTTTATAATCTGTTAAATGGTTTTGATAAATTTTTTGAAGAGGAATTACTAGCGTCTATTCATAATGATCATCAATTAAATTTTTTTTCTTTTGCAGCATTAGAAAGTACAGATATAATTTGTGCTTCATCTAGTTTTCATGGTAATCCAATATTTTCTAATATTATTATTAGTAGTGAAGTTAACGGAAGAAATGTAAATTGGTATGGTTTGGTAAGAATCAAATTTTAATATTATATTTTCATAATCTACTAACTTAAAAATATCGATAATAAGCGATATATAATGTAAATTAGAATATTAACTTTCTAGCTTATTATTTAATTTTAACTTTTTTTATTATAAATACTATTAATATTTAAGTTTTATGTAGCTTTAGATAAAAAACTACTTGAGTTCGCTCACGTTCGTTGGTATGAGGAGGATGATCAACTATAGGATTGTCTAAGATTAAAATTAGTTAAACAATATAGTTGTATACCAATAGATAGTATCGATAAAACTGTACATATAGTTCCAAGATTTGACAAACAAATGAATATTTAATAAATAGTTTTATATTCTAACAATTTAACAAGTATATTATAAAATCAAGTATATATATATATTTAAAATTATATCTGTATCATAATACATACTAGTATCAGAAAATTTTTTAAATAGATATTAATTGATATATATATATATAGCAATTAACCAAATTGAAAACTTTGATAAATACTATTAACATTTATTATATATCGATATTAATCAATTTATTAAATTTGATATAATTCGATTTTTAAGTATATATCGATTAATATCGAAAATTAATTTATATTAAAAATCGATATATTTAAATTATTAACGATATTTATCAATATAGCATAGTATGCTATGTATCATTAATAATCTAAATATATCAATTTTCAATATAAATCAATTTTTGATATTAATTAATATATACCTAAAAATCGAATTATATCGAATTTAATAAATCGATTAGTATCGATAAAATATTATAAATTGATATATAGCATAGTATATTATATATTGATTTATAATGTTTTATCAATACTAATTAATTTATTAAATTTGATATAATTCGATTTTTAGATATATTAGTCAGGGAATATGTCATACCTGTTGATATGTGACTGTTAATATATAATAAAAATTATAATAAAAACATATAAATTTACTATAAACTTTAAGCTC